TAATTATAATGTATTTTTTCATTACCCGACCCGTGTTTTATCCGCAGCGCCCTGAGATATAACCGCAGTTTACGCATTACTAACGGGAGGCAAAAATATAACCTTTACGGCTACAACCGTAACATTAGTTTCAGACAAAACTGCAATGTATTTTACTGGTGAATATGTCATTTAAAAACACTTTAGAAACTGTATATGTATATTTTTTCATTAATTTAAACGGAAACCTATCCAAATAAAAACTTAATCAAAAATGAGCATCACTATGTATGTCTGCACAGAGATCAAGCTTCTCACCGGAGAATGTGGACATTATGGTGTTTTTGAAGTAGAACTTAATGAAATATTCCAAATGTCCTTAGAGAGTACAAGCCTGTTTATCTTTCACCTTACACTGCAGTTATTTATTTCATTTTAGTTTACCTAGTTAAAATGGCTGCACTAATGTTTTTTTCTGACTAGTCTTTATTGGAGGTATTTATTTAATTTTTGTTGTTAACTCAGGTATCCTGACTCTACTAAAATGTGATGGCAAAGTTAATTAAGAAAAGGTTTAGTTGTTCTTGTTATTAAGTGAATCGCTCTGGTTACTAAAGTAACCCTCATTCCCGAGAAGGGGAACGGAAATGCTATAAGTGAATTTTAATCCACGAATGGGGATTTTGTTTCAGAAAGCCAATCGTCTGAAAGAGTATATAATGGGCCAATGAAATGCCAAATGAGTTGGCAGCGTAAGCTTACGCATGTGTGGCTTATAGCAATTAACTCCACATATAAGCACAGGGAAAGCAAGGAAATGCTATCCTTTTAAGTTTAAAAGACTGACACTTACAGCTAAGGAACAATCATTATGGCGATGCTATATATGCATAGTTCACTTCAAGATAACTTCAAAAGTGGATTTTAATCCACGAATGGGGAAATGTCTGGAAAACACCATGATGACTGCACCTTACCTTCGCCTCCAATGAGAGGATAGCCAGGCATAGCATGAGCGCTCCTGCATCAAAGAGAGGCGCGGTCCTCCAGCGTGATCCCTGGCTTTTACTTATCCCACTTCAAAGAAGTTTTAAGGATTTAGATATATTTTTTTTGGGAGTTGCAAGCATCTAGATAATTCTAGGAAAATACGACAGTATGTTGGGAAAGCGTGCAGTCCCGATAGGGAGGACACTGCGGAGGCCATCTACCAACCAATGGGGAGGTATGATGGTAAAATATATAGACTAGCCCTAAGAAGGGGTAGTACGCATATAATAAGATGGTTAGCGGAGAGTGAAGACACGGGTCCGCTCGTGAGGGGGGACTGCACCGTTGCTAAATAAGCATTTGGGATCCCCTAGTGGGGATCATGCGTAGCAGGCACATATACCCAAAACGCGGGCTGACCAGCAGGCAGACCTACACTGTAATGGGCCAGCAGGTGCCTTCTCCGCTGAGTCAGTGCTGGGGGCCTCGGAGGAATCTGCAGGGCTCACCTAATGGGGAACTTTACTGACAGATGAAAAGGCGCACGTATCTCCGTGTTAGGGAGAATGGCGCAGCAAGCGTATTTCAACACCTTAACCGAGTTGTTTCCTCACTCACCAAGGGTTACTTAATACCCTTGAGGAAACCGGCTTGAGATTGAAAAACCTTGCAAATGTATTAGGTGTCACCCAGCCCGCAGCTTTACAGATGTCTTTTAGAGAGGCGCTGCGTGCACGCGCCCAAGAGGATGCGATGCTCTGAGTGGCGCACTCTCGGGGGACACGGCTCGCCCTGGCTCTGGTAAGCGAGGGAGATGGCATCCACTAACCAGTGGGCATTTCAACCTCTGTTTCGATATGGCACTTCCCTGCTGCCGACCGCATAACAGACGAAGAGCTCCTTAGATGATCTAAAGCTCTGAGTGCGGTCTAGATAAATACGCAAAGCGCGAACTGGACAAAGTAAAAAAAGGGCTGGGTCTGCATCCTCTGGGGGCAGCGCTTGCAGGCTCACTACCTGGTCTTTAAATGGTGTGGTAGGAACCTTGGGCACATATCCCGGGCGGGGTCTCAGGACAACGTGAGAGTAAGCCGGCTCAAATTACAGGCACGAGTCACTGACCAAAAAATGCCTCCAGGTCCCTGACCCTCTTAATCGATATCAACGCGACCAGCAGAGCTGTCTTCAGGGACAGAAATCTTAAAGATACTGAGTCGAGGTTCGAAGGGATCTGACGCAGCTCGTGAGAATGAGGGCAAGATCCCAAGAGGGCATGAGAGGGGGGCGGGGTGGATTAATTCGCCTAGCGCCTCTGAGGAACCGGATGAGGAGGTTAAGCCTTCCCACGGAGCTGCCAACCACCGTGTCATGAGAGCGGAGATGGCAGCCACGTAACCTTGAGAGTGGAGGGCCTGCTCTCCAGCTTCTCTTGGAGTAAAGAAAGCACAATGCTGATCTGGCAATTTTCGGGGGTCTTCTCTGCGAGAGATGCACCATTCAGTAAAAAGACTCCACTTCAGGGCATAGGCACACTCAAGGAGGGGGCTCTAGCCCGAGTGACGGTATTAACCACCGCAATCGGTAGGTTACCTAAGTCTTTCTTGTGTCTAAGGACCACACGTGAAGGTTCCAAAGATTGGGGCGAGGGTGCCAGAGGGTGCCCTGTCCCTGAGAGAGTAGGTCCTCTCTCAAAGGGATCTGCCAGGGGTGGGCTGTTGCGAGGAGGGAGAGCTCTGACATCCAGGTCCGGTTGGGCCAGAGGGGTGCAATTAACAAAACCTGTTCCTCGTCCTCCCTGATCTTGCACAGTAACTGTGCGAGCAGGCTCACTGGGGGAAACACATATTTGCGCATGCCCCGAGGCCAGCTGTGTGCCAGTGCATCCGTGACGAGAGAGCCCTCGGTCAGAGAAAAGAACAACTGGCAATGAGCGTTCTGGGGGGAAGCAAACAGATCGATCAGCTGAACAGACTCAGGGTGGAGTCACCATTACCCACTACTACGTAAAGCACAGCCCGTGCTGGAAGTATCTGTTGAATAAACAACATGACTGGGAACGAGGGGTCATTCCAAGGGCTGAGGGCGCGGCGATACAGCGCATCCTTCAGGTCTATTGCTGCAAACCAATCCCGAGGACTAACGCACCGGAGGATGTGCCTCTGCAGCTTGTGCAGACAGCGGTTCAAGACGAGCAGATCTAGGATTGGCCGTGACCCACCGCTCTTTTTGGGCACGATGAAGTACGGGGTGTAAAACTCGCTCACCATCTCGGCTGGAGGGACCGGAAGACAGGGGCGGAAAGGGGTTGACCCTGGTGAAATACACACCCGTAAACTTTGGGGGGGGGGCGTTTCGCGAGCTGAATCGCATAGCCGAGTCTGATAGTGCATATGAGCCACCGCGAAGGGCTGGCCCACGCTAACCAGGCAGGCAGAGCTCTCGCTAATGGACTCATCGCTACAATTGCTGACGTACCAGCAGTGGGGCAGCGTGGAGTGGGTGTGCTGATCAGGGAAGCATGAGGGTCCCCCGGAGGCAAAAAAAAAGAGCTGGAGGCAAGAGGCAACCAAACTCCGGAGAGGAGGCTCGAGGGGTGGGAGAAAGAAGACCATCCTCCCAGCGCTTGTACGCCACTGGCGAAGTGCACCGAACCCGCAAGCTGGGAAGCAGAGCGTCCCGGACTGGCAGGGTTCATGCTGTCACATCCGAGGAAGTGGAAAAGGGCTCTTTCATTGATGTTTTCGTGGCACTGAAAAGTGCCATTAGAAATAGTCCCCAGCCCTCCAGCGGGGAAACAGCAAATTCCCTCTTCTCCGGATGGACCCCGCCAAGAAGAGGCGCCATGCGGACAAAGATTGATCGCAATGGCACGCTCGACTGGAGTAATCACTTCATACCCCCTGGCCGCTCCACCATCAAGAGTGGTGGGAGCGGAGGAACACGCAGCACGGGCAGAGAAAGGTGCCCTCCAAGACATCGTGAGCCTACTGTGCACCTCCGGGAAGAAGGGGACGAGAGGCTTCAAAGGCTTAGCCCTCTGGTCCTCCACGTAGCACCCATCTAGTTGGTCCGGCCGCAGAGCTGGGGGATAAACCATCTCCAACCCCACGGCCGAAGCAGCCAGGGAAAGCACAGCTAACATGTTAGTTTCAGGATCCGTCTTGACAGCACTCACCTGCCCGGAGGGGGCGAGCGGCTCTGGATCATCATTGGACAATGAAAGCCCACCATCCGATGCCGCGGTGGAAGTCTGGTTCCCGGTGTCATCGAGCGTAAGGGTTACCATCTGGTTAGACGGATCGCTTCCTCCGCTCGAAGCTTGGATGGGGCGCTTGGAGGAGCGAGAGGTCCGCGGGCCCGGAGGTGACGGATTATCTCTCGCTGGAACCCTCAGATCTGCCCGAGTGCCCGCTGAAGTGCAGGGGACAGCTGGGGTGGTTCGCCCCTTCACAAGGGCTAGCCGCAATCTTAATTGCGCAACAGACATGGCATCGCAATGACAACATGAACTGCCCGCGAGCACCGCATTAACATGCTGGACCCCCAGACATGCAACGCAGTGATTGTGCCCATCATCCAGAGACAGGAAACCTGAACCAGAAACGCACAGTCGGAGCGCCATCCTGAAAAGGACGTACTGCATGACTGTGTTGCTCTTTTAGGAAATTTGCAACTATATGCACCGTTCTGGAGGACCGGACCCAAAGAATGCCAGGAAAGGGAGAATCCTAGCTCGACCCCGCGTGTACCCACTCTGGACCGGGAGACCACTCTCGTTCGCTCAAATCGCTGGATCACAGCAGGAGGGACCCTCATCGACTCTCTCAAAAGGCTGTAATAGTCTCTGAAGCGAAAAGAATAGCGTTTCCTTGCTTTCCCTGTGCTTAAATGTGGAGTTAATTGCAATAAGCCACACGTGCGCAAGCTTACACTGCCAACTCATTTGGCATTTCATTGGCCCGTTATATACTCTTTCAGACGATTGGCTTTCTGAAACGAAATTCCCATTCGTGGATTAAAATCCACTTATAGCATTGAAGTTCCCCATCCGAAAGGGAACTACTGTTCCTTAGCATTGCTGTTAAGATGAACCATGGCCCCAAACTGTGAACCGAACTGAACCGTGCCTTTGGTGTATCGTTACACCCCTAAAAGTTATGCACTGTTTTTCACTCACTATCTCTCTTTCTCTTGTAGTTGAACAGTGTCAATAATTTTGTGCAGTCTATCAATGACTATTTGCAACTGAAAGCAGATGAGCTGGCCCTTTCTGCCATTGCTCAAAGGATAGAGGGATACAAGATAGAGGGTCTAAGTGAAGAAGTAGACAAGGTAAGCAAAAGATCTTCATTCACCATTAACTCTACCTAGAGTATTACATTAATCTAATGCAAAGTTTACCAACAGCATGTTCGCGAGATCTGCCGTTTTGATTTGACGAGCCCAATGAGTGGGGTGGGGCCAAATGTAATACGCAAGCAAATACTGGAAGAAACTTTGAAGGTTAAAAGAAGAAAGGATACAAAGGCAAGTGACAAACTGACTATGATTCACTAATGATTATTATATATTGGCCTCAAAATTGTAACATTCATTTCTGGTTATGTTAGGAGTTTGTGGTCCTGCTCTTTACTGATGTGCTGTTGATAACTAAAGCACAGAAGAAATCAGACAAGCTGAAGGTACTGCGCCCCCCAATGCTTGTGGAGAGAATACACTGCATTGAGGTCAAAGATGGCTGTAAGTGTGTCTTCTAATATAATCTGCTCGTTATTGATCTTGCTTGCCCAAAATAAGAAATATATATATATTATATTAAATTATTCATTCATTCTTTTTCTTGTCGGCTTAGTCCCTTTATTAATCCGGGGTCGCCACAGCGGAATGATCCGCCAACTTATCCAGCACATTTTTACACAGCGGATGCCCTTCCAGCTGCAACTCATCTCTGGGAAACATCCACACACACATTCACACACACACTCATACACTGGATAATTTAGCCTACCCAATTCACCTGTACCACATGTCTTTGGACTGTGGGGAAAACCGAAGCACCCGGAGGAAACCCATGCAAACGCAAAGAGAACATGCAAACGCCAACTAAGCCGAAGATTGAACCAGCGACTCAGCAACCTTCTTGCTGTAAGGCGACAGCACTACCTACTGCGCCACTGCATCACCCTTATATTATATTATATTATATTATATTATATTATATTATATTATATTATATTATATTGTATTATATTATATTATATTATATTTAATTATATTATATTATATTATATTATATTATATTATATTATATTATATTATATTATATTGTATTATTTTATATTATATTATATTATATTATATTATATTATATTAACTAGACTCACATCAGTATGAAAGGTGAGATAATCTAAGTTGTGTATTACATGCGTTTAGAAGCTTACAAAAAAAGAGATTCTTCTAAGAACCTTTTTGATAACAGTTCTTAACCTTTTAACTGCCTACTCTACCAAATAGTTGACCATATGTTGACTGTTTTCAATAATTACTGTTAAAGTCATTTGAAGAATGACTGTTTTAAATAATGGTTTACACACATTGATTTACAAAAAAATCAAATAAACATAACCCTGTTGCACTACTACAAAAAAAAAAAAAAAAAAAAACGGGGGAACAAGCATGTTATGATATAGTGTATAATGGACCAGAATGTAAAATATATATATATATATATATATATATATATATATATATATATATATATATATATATATATATATATATATATATATATATATATATATATATATATGTATATATATATTCAGTTCTACATATAGTGAACAAATATTATTTTTTTTTTTTTTTTTTTTTTTTGTTTTTTTTTATTTTTTTTTTTTTTTTTTATTGTTTTTATTTTTATGTATTTAAAAAAGTGAGATTGCACTTTATAACTTCTCTAAAAGCTAATATTTTGGTTTATATTTTCACACAAATTAACAATATATGCTGATACACTTCATTTATTTTTTTATTTTCCTTCTACTTAGTCTCTTTATTTGTCAGGGGTGTCCACCGCAAAATGAACCACCTAACTTATCCCTCATGTGTTTTATGCCACAATTGCCCTTCCAATCGCAACCCCGTACTGGAAAACACCCAAACACTCTC